GTGTTGCGGGGGGGGGGGCGGTGAAGGCAGCGCGGTACAGGGAGCGCCGCATGCTAGAGGCTACTCTCAGGCTGCTCTCAGGCTGGTCCAAGCCGCGCAGGTGCCTGACGCCGCCCCCAAACCCGCCACACATGCCCCGGCCCTCTGCCGCCCTCCCTCCCCACCTGCTGGCAGTAGGCCAGCGAAGAGCGCATGGCTGCCAGGCTGGCGGCCGTGAGCTGGACGTCGCGGTGGAAGGGCTGCACAAAGAGCTTGCGCCCCAGGACGCTGGCGCACAGGCAGGCGTGCAGGTGAGCGTACGCCTCATCCAGCAGCTGTCGAAGTAGGTTGAGCCGCACCTGCATGCAGGGGGGCAGACACCGGCAGCGGGATGGGCCGAAGGAACGGGAGCCTCCCTCACAGCAAGCGCGGCGGACAGGATGCCCCATGCCCCCAGGTTCTGCAGACGGCCGCAGGCCCCCACCAGGCTGTCTCCGTCGGCCCAGTGCAGGATGAGCATGGGCAGGATGACACGCGTCTTCCCCTCGCCTGCAGGCGGCGGCGCAGCAGAAGCGCACTAAAGCGCAAGCAGGTAGTCTGGCGACCAGCGCATGGCAGGGGTATCGGCAGCAAGTGTAAGCTGAATGCCATCACTAACACACCGCCCTCCCTACCCATGTTGAGCTGCAAGATGTGTCCGCGGTTGTTCATCAGGTGGAGCGCCACCCAGTACTGGGCGGGACGGATCTGCAGCTGCTGCTCCGCCTCAAACACGAGCCACTCGGGGTGCTTCTTCACGCTCCACTGGCGGTGCACCAGCAGCTCCTGTGCCAATAGGGAAGGGCAGGGTGCCCTGTGTAGCGCGCAGGCCAGCTGCGCCTGCATGCCTGGTGACTGGCATGCCGGCACGCATCACAGGGTGCGGCAGCAGCCACGGCAGCAAACCTGGATGAGATGGGGTGTGGCCGCTGGGTCTGCAGCCAGCCGCTCCAGCCGCCCCAAGCGGTCCTCCAGCACACACAGCTGCAGGCGGGCGGGCAGGCGGCAGGCAGGCACATATTCGTCGGCACGGGGCGGGGAGGCAGGGGTGGGTGGCTGGTAGGCAGGAGTGCAGGCCTGCCAGCAACAGCAGCTTGTCTGTCTTCCCGCCTGCCTGCAGTCACCTGCAGCCACACGTGGGACCCCTTCCGCAGGCGGGCCGCCGAGGTGTCGGACAGGAATGGGTTGAGCTGCAGCGCCAGCTGGCACCCCGTGCGCAGCGCCAGAGACAGCAGGTCCAGCGGGCCGTGCTGCGCAGCGCAGCCGCTGGCCTGCCGCATGCGGAAGCCAGCGCACGGCACGCCCACTGTGTCCGGCACGGCTGCCAGGTGGGTGTGAAGGTAGGCCTCGGCTTGCATGCGCAGACTTTCCACCCTGGCCTGCATGGCAGCATCATGCGGGACCAGCGAGAGAGGCGTCGGATAAGGAGGCAGTCGAGGCAGGATGGCGAGGGCGAGACGCTCCTTTGCAGGCAAACACAGATGTGTTGCCGCAACACATGCGCCGGCCGCACTCTCCCTGGCTGCTCACCCTGGCCTGCAGGATGTGCTGCCGGCAGCCTGCCGTCACCGCCACCGGCTCCGGGTGCTTGTGGTGCTCCTCCCAGCTCTCTTGCAGCTCAGCATGCATCTGGCCCGCCAGAGGGGTGCCCTGTGCTCCACCTTTGCCCCCAGCGGCGCGTAGTGGATACTCAGGGGCGACCGCCACCCGCTTTGGCACCACCACGAGCTGCTGCAGGGCTGCTTCCACGTCCCGCACTATGTCTGCTGCCACGGGACAGGCCGGCACCTCAATGGGCTGATACAGCCGCCGCCGCCGCCACAGCGGCGGCCCCACGGCCGCGCTTGCCTGCCCCGTCGCGCGCTGCTCCTCCTCTGAGGTCAGCAGCAGGCGGGGGTTGTGGCTGCCGTGGCGGCGCCGCTCCTGCTCGTAAGCTGCAGCCCACTCGGGGTCAAGTGTTGGGGGCTGGCAGTGGTCTGGCAGTGCCTCTGGGGGCGGGTAATGCAAGCTGTTGAGCTGGCTGGCGCTGCACTGTAGCTCATGGGCAAGCAGCCGCAGGCCGGCAGCCATGTGCCCTGCAGGCACCACGGGGAGGGAACGGAGAGGCAGGATGTCAGCTTGGGAGCCAGGCGCAGGAGCGGCAGCAGCACATACGTGCTGCAGGCATTGCGCTGATGCCAAGCTGCCGCCGTGATGAGATCCCATGTCTCAAGCAAGCACGCAGTCAGGAGCCAGGCAGTAAGCCATTTACCTCCTAGGCATGCTGCGCTGCGGAGCTGCTGCAGCTCGCCTTCGCTCAGCGGCTGCGTGGTCCAGCACTGTCGCAGCAGTGCCATGGCCTGCTGGGCGCCGGTCATGCGGCTGACAGGGTCTGGCAGCAGCGAGCCGGTAGCTGCGTACAGAGCAGCCAGCTGGAGCCGGGCGGGGATGGAGCGGGCACGCAGGTGGCCAAAGCGGGGGTGGATGTCGTAACGATGCACCTGTAGCATGGGGCAGGGGGCACAGGGTTTCAGGGCACCTGCGCGTAACCAGAGAGCGGATCCTTCACCTGGCCAGTGGGCAGTGAGGCAAGCGGTAAAGCAGGCAGTCAGGCAGAAGCGAAGGACTGCCAGCAATGCGGCACTCGCCTGGATCGTGTCGCCGCTGGCATCGCTGTGCATCAGAGTCACTTGCTCCGCCTGCCGCTGCACACTGCCCACTGGCACCACCACCAGCGTTGGCTGGACTGCCGCCACTGTGTTGGAGCTGCCATGCTGGCAGGACTGCAGTACTAGGTACTGCCTGAAATCGGGAAGGGAAAACACAGCCTGCCGGCCATCGCCACCACTGGTGCCAGCATCCTTCCAGAGCTGCTGGCAGGGAGCCAGCTCATAGTCGGCATAATCCCGGGACAGCAGCTGGCCGCCTCGCAGCTCAAACTCCAGGCCGGATCGCGGCAGGTTAAACCGCATCTGCCAGGGAGGCGGGGAGGCACCCTTGGGTTCGCCGCTGCCGCCGCCGCCGCTATCTGTGCTGGCCTTGCCGCTGGTACTGCTGCCGTCGCTGGCGCTGGTGCCGGCGGGGATGTAGGTGTGGATGAACTTGAGGCGCTCGAATTTGGAGAGCACTTGCGTCACTGGGGAGTCGTGCAGCACCAGCTGATCGGTGAGGTGGCAGTCGTGCTGAGTCAGCAGCTCCGGCCAGGCATGTCTCTCGCTGAGGTGCGTCGGCACGCGGCGAACCACAAATTCGACTGCCGCAGCAGCGGCAGGGGCGCTCGGCCTCCTTTTGCGGCTGCGGCTGCGGCTGCGGCTGCGCTGCCGGACAAGTGGGCGGCAGCGCGTCTCCTCCTGCCACTGCAGGATGAAGGCTGCCTGATGGTCACGGAAGTGGTGGGCCCGGAGCACAATCGCACGCTCCTCCCTGCAAGAATCGGGCAGGCAGGAAAGGAGAGAGTCGGGACAGCATGACCGGGCAGTGTGGTGCAGGTGTTGGGGTGTGCGCATGTCATGGCAGGTAGTGCCATGGGGCGACCACACCACACTTCACCTGCAGAGCCAGTGGCTGTGCAGCTCGCGCAGGCGCACTGGCAGCTCGGCGCCCCAGCTGCCGCCGCCCTCGCCGTCCCCTGGGTCCAGCAGCTGCATGCGGCGCCCTCCTGCTGCCTCCACCTCCACCACCACAAGCTCGCCGCCGTCCAGCAGCACGGTACCGTCCAGGCAGTTGATGGAGTAGAGGTGGCCGCCGTGCTCGGCGCGGAAGCTGGCAGCGGGCAGCGCGGGAGGGCCCTCGAACAACATGCTCCTCCAGTAGAGGTCGGCGGGCGCAAACTGCAGCACGCGGCGCAGCGCGGCCGTCAGCACGGCCGGCTTGCGCGCCACCGTGGTCAGCACTTCATCGAGGCGCCGCGCCAGAGTCCAGTGGCACAGCACCTGCAGGAGGGGTGGGGAGGTGGGGAGCGGGTCGGGGAGCTGCGGCGGCTGGTGGGAGGCTGCCCAGGCTCGAGCTGCCATCCAAAGGGGCCAGGCAAGCACAGCAGGGTCCCAGGCAGCTCCCTGCATGAATGCCCTCTGAGCAAGAAGCATCTGAGCAAGAACCAAAGTGTAAGCAGCAGCCCAGCACAGCCCCCAACCTGCAGCCGCTCCAGGTGCGCCTCCAGGTCTTTGCCCTTGCCGTAGATGCTGCCGTGGTGGGCGAGCACCGCCAGGCTCAGCAGCTGCTGCACGTCTGCCGTGCTGAGCTGGCCGCTGGCGTGGCACAGCAGGGCCGTCATGCGCAGCAGGCACTGCTTGGCCCGCACGGGGCGTGCCTCGTCGGGTGGCGCCTCCTGCGCCTCAGCCTCCAGGTCCTCGGCCCACCGCGCAGCCGCAGCCGCAAAGCGCCTCGCCACTGCCCGCAACGGCGTGTGCCAGGCGGACAGGTAGGCCGCCATCTCTCCCAGCAGCAGCACGGCGCCGTGCTGACGTGGCGAGTCGCTCAGCTCATCCGCCAGGCTGGCCAGCTCAGCAGCCAGCGTGTCGAGCACGCCACCTGGCACCTCCCACTCGGTGCGCCACAGCAGCGTGGGAGCTGCAGTGCTGTCAGTCAGCTGGCCGCAGTGGTAGAGCGCCTGCCTCACCAGCGTCTGCACAGCGGGATGGTCGAGCGGCAGGATGCGCTGGCGCAGCGCGGCACACAGCTGGCGGTACTGGGTGAGAGGGTAGGCCCGCAGCGTGCACAGCGCAAGGTAGCCCGGCTTGGAGAGCTGGTCCTGCGGGCGCTGGTCCTGCTGCGCGATCGCCAGGTTGCCGCGGCTGGAGGCTGTGGCGGCGCACCCGCCGTACAGCGGCATCGCCCACTGCAGCGCCGCCGCGGCTGCCGGCAGCTTCTCGGTGAATGCCTGCACCACCAGCGCCTGTGGTACGGCAGCCCAGGGGTCAAGCCAGCCGCAGCTGCCCAGAGCGCCATCAGCCGCGCTGCCACTGCCCTGCCAGCCCATGCGCAGTGGCAGGGTGTCGGGGTGCCAGATGCCCTGATGCGCAGAGGAATAGCCCATGCGCAGTGGTCCACAGAGTGTAGCCGGACCTGCAGTGCAGTGCAGGGGAGAAGGGAGGCATTGGTGTGCAGTGCAGTGCAGGGGAGAAGGGAGGCATTGGTGCCTGGGGAGAACACACGGGAGAACTGCGCAGCATAGCAGAGACGGCCAGCAGGCACAGCTCCCAGGCAGGGCCGCTGGCATTGAGATCTTGCTGCATTTCCAGCAGGGCGCACCGTGTCGGGGCGAGGTACCTCCCTATTTGACACAAAGCGAACGAGGGCTGGGACGCCATCGCTGCCGGTTCGGTCGGTGGACTCCGCAAGGTAAGGTGAGGCCTGGTGGTTGTTGTAGTGAGAGGCCAGCCTGGTCTTGGGTTCCTCGACACGCACCAATTCCAGCGCATCAGCGGTCTGTGGCAGCAGCCGCATCTGCGCCAGGAAGGTGGTGCGGGCCAGGTGCCTGCAGCAGGTGCGAGGCGGACGCAGCATAACGCAGGGCTCAGCAGAGATGGGTGCATTCCAACAAACCGCAGCGGCGGCCAAGCAGCTTGCACCTCATCACTGCATCCCCAGCTCAAGCCCACACACCAGACACCATCGACATGCACCAGTAGCCTCACCTGAGGAGGGGCGGCATGTAAAGGAAGAAGAGCCAGGCGGCCGCGGTGGCGGCGCCCTTGGGCAGCGGCTGGATGACGGGCGGCGGAGGCTGCAGCGCTGCTGTGAGTTCCTTCTGTGTGGAATCACACAGCTGCTCGGCGTGGACCAGTTGGACCTGAGCCGCCCGCAGCTCCTCCCTGTCATCGCCATAGTAAATAGATAAGTAGTCATGTGCTGCACGCACTCGCCGCCTGGCTGCTTCCGCCGCCTCCTTCTGCCTGGCCAGCGTCTCCCGCAGGTCCGCCGCCAGCGCCTGCTTGCGCCGCACCTCGTCCCAATGCCCCGCCTGGCGCTGCTCTGCTGCCACCACCTCTGCCCGCCACAGCTGCTGCAGGCGGCCGTCCTGCTGGCCGTACCGCGTTGCCATCTCAAACGTGGCCTGCCCGCCATCGCGCAGCGTGAACACGCCCCTTCCGCGGCTGTGTTCCCGCAGGTACCGCGCCGTCGCCAGCATGGCGTCCACAGCTGTCCTGTCGCTGAGCGCCAGGTGGCGCAGGTCGGCCCAGTTGACGCCCACCCCGTACTGCTGCAGCAGCGGGTGGGCGTGGGCCGCGGCGGCGTGCACCATGCACAGCGCCACCCACACCACCAGCACGCCGCGGCTCCGCAGGTCTGCCTGCATGCGGGGCTCGCTGGCCCCCCCGCCTTGGAACGTGTGCAGCGCTGCGCATGGGCAGGGAGGGGCGTGGGGAAGTGTCGAGACTGGCAGCCAACTATGGCAGGCAGCTGCTGGTCCGACCGTCGAGGCTGCGCAGCTGAGCAAGCACTCCAGAACAGCAGGGCGGATTGGCTGGAGTTCACAGAATGAAACATTCCCCACTCCGAGGCAGGACCCCAGCAGCCAGGCACTCACCCAGCAGGTAGGCATTCACCACTTCCACCAGGGAATCCACCTCTGTTTCTGGCAGGCGCGCCTTCGCGCCAAAGCCTTGCACGGCGCACTGGAACATCTCTCTTTCCACCATGCACAGCGCGTGCTGTGCCACCACGCTGCCCTGGTGCTGCCGGGCGGCGGACAGTGCTGCCAGCAGGTCGGCAAACGGCAGCTGGCCTGGCGGGCGCTCTGGCGGCAGCAGCAGCGAGCCCAGGTTGCGGCCCTCCCGCTCAATGGCCTCCTCGAGGCCGCCTCCCTCAGCCTGAGGGCCGGCGAGCGGCGGCAAAACGCCGCGCGGGAGGCGGTAGCTGCCGGGGCCGCAGGGCGAGTCTGGCCCAGCCAGGGCTGGCAGCTGCGCATCGCTGGCGGCCGCCTGCACCCGCGCTGCTCTGGCGCCCTCCAGCGCCAGCCGGGCCGCTCTGCAGGCTGCCTCAAAGTGTGCCACGTCGTGCGCCTGCTCGGCCAGCTCGCCGCCCACGCTGGCCACAGCCGCCGTCATCTGCATGGCAGCATTCAGCGCCGTCGAGGTGGCTGAGCCATTCACCACCAGCGGCACCTGACGCTGCAGCAGCCACAGATGCAGGTGGGCCTCTGCCAGCTGGAAGAGGTCGGGGGAGGGGCTGCGGCAGGTGCTGACGTGGCCCAGTGTTGCCTGCACGTGCACATTAAAAGGGGGCGGCGAGGGTGGTCAGACAGGGGCAGACACTCGGAGGTGTGGTAACAAAAGCTTGGTGGTGAAGGGAAGCAGGCCCAAGCAAGTTCCAGCGAGGAACCCGTCAGCAGGTGCTCGCTAGTCGTCCAAGTACAGCAGGCTCAGCAGGCCTAGCAGGCCCAGCAGGCCCTGGCAACGCACCCTGATGGCCTCGCGGACCAGCGGCCATGCGGTGTCTCGCGGCGCGCCGCCTGTGTGCAACCCGACGTCGGTGAAACCGCCCTGCGGCTGCCGCTCCGGCACCTCGTCCTCTTCATCTGCCTCCAGCTGGTCCAGCGCTTGCAGCACCAGGGCGCGCACCATCGCCGGCGTCTTCTGGTGGCCCTGCCCGCCCCCAGCCGCAGAGCGTTCGTCGCCCTTGCGCTGCGCCGCCTTGGCCAGGGCGCCGCTCAGGGCCGCCCGGAAGCCTGCCATCTGCTCGGCCGGCAGCACGCCGCAGTGCACCACCGTGCCCTCGCCGCTCTCTGCCGTGTGGCTGATGGCACCGTCGTCGGTGCTGCGAGATGGGGGCCAGGGGATGGCAGCAGAGATGGGAATGGAGAGGCAGGAGGGCAGAGGGGCCAGCAGCTGCTGTTAGGGGAGGCAGGCAAAGCAGGCGCGGCGCGTGCATGGAGCAACGGGTCCGCGCCGCCAACAAACGCACCTGTGTGTGATAAAGCGCCAGCGATCCAAGCCCACCAGGATCAGCGCAAGGCTGCCTGGTACTGGCTGGGTGTCTGGCATGCCGGGAGGTGCCATCAGCAGGCAGCAGCCGTACTCCGGGAAGAAAGAAGCGCTCTGGGCACAGGCCACGAAGCGCACCGCCTCTGCCAGGCAGCTAAGGTCGGCGGCAGGCAGCCGGGGCCAGACTGGCGGCGGCAGAGCTGTGTCCTTGCCGGCAGCTTCCTGCGCCTGGCCCACGCCCAAACGCCGCAAGCAGACCGGTGGATTGAGGACAGCTTTGTTGGGTGCGGGGGTGCAGGGCGGTACCTACGGCAAGCAAGGCTGTTGCGCCCTTGCACTGCTGGCATCTGCTTGCCGGTAGCGACGGGGCGGGTTGTCACATTGCGCTCACTGGCAGTCCGCTCGACTGACACCAAACTCTGGCTGCCTGGATGCACCAAAGCACTGGAAGCGCGCATCACGCATGGATGGCCTGCCCAGCTCACCAGATGCGCCACAAAGCGGCGCCACATGTCGAGGAAGCCGACGACGGCGGTCGCCGTCTGCAGGGAGCTGGCAGGGCGGTGCAGGAAGGCATACAGGCTGCCAGCAGCTCCTCCCTCTCGCACCACTTTTCATGTGCGTCGGACGCCATTGCTCCCCTGCAGAGCAACTCTTGAGGGGGCAGGGTAAGCCAGGGCAGGGTACCCTGCCCTGGGCCCAGGGCTGTCCCACGGGCGGGACGGGCACGGGCAGCGGAGGCCACTGCCCGTTCTCCGCTAATCATCACGCTTCCGTTTTGACACCGCCCCTCACCACACAGCCTGTGCGCGGGAAGGGCTCCGCGCCTGAGCAAGCCCGCACGCTGCGACCTTCAGCTGAGCTCTTTCGGGAGTCCGTTTGCTGTCCGAAGCCCGTAAGGGATGGATAAACGGGCGGGATATGCGCCCCAGCCAAAACCGCTGATGATGCTGGTCCGCGTGCTGAACGTGGTGGTCGTGTTGGCCCAGCCGCCGCCGGCGCCGTCGCATACATGCGCAAACCATTCCCAAAGTATGCCCTGGCGGTGCTGCTGGTTTAGATATGGAATCATTCTATCAGAATGGTGGACGGAGACACATGCGACGGCTGCACGGCCACGCTCCCGATCACCGCCGCAGCCGCCGCCCACAGTACCAGACGCCGCCGCCGCCCGCGTCAGGCCTCGCTCAGCTCTCGCACATACTGCTCCAGCCGCTCCAGCACCAGCGGCCACAGCGCGGCCTGCACGTGCCGCCGCAGCCGCTCCCGCTCGCTGCCATCGCTGCCGCCTGCACGGGCGCACCAGCGGCGGCGGCAGGGCAATTTGGTTGGACCTGTGAACCCCAGCCGGCGGCAATCCGCTGCCTGCGCACGCCAGCAGCAGTGCCACCACCAGCCCAAGTGCAGGGCGCACGCAGCAGCAGCAGCAGGCGGGGGGGGGGCTTGCGGGGTGTCGCGCTGCCGGGCGGCCAGGCAGCTAGGCGGCAGCTACAACACACACACACACACACACACACACACACACACACACACCTGTGGCGGTGCACGTCACCTCCAGATCATCGTGATCCGACCCGCTCCCAAACTCCCCCACAGTCAGCTCCCCGGTGATGCCGCCCTCCTCCGCTGCTGCCGCCACCTCGCCGCCAGCCTCGTCCTCGCCCTCGTCCCCGCCGTCGTCCGCCTCCCCGCCGCCCGCGCCCGGGGCCTCGCCTGCGCCGCCCAGGCTGGGGCCCGCCAGCGCCTCGGCCGCGGCATCTGCCGGCGGCGCTGCCACCATGGGCGCCCGCTGCGGCTCCGCCGCGCCTGCTGCTGCGGGTGCTGCCGGCGGCGGGGCTGCCTCCCAGCCCAGGGTTATCTTGAGGTCGTAAAAGGCAAAGCGCTTGTTGCCCTTGCGGGTGGTCAGCATGGCCTGCGGCAGCAGGAGGCAGAGGGCAGCAGCGGTTCAGGCAATTGGGGGAACATGAAGATGGCGGCTCGAGGAAACACGCAAGGAGTGCTTTTGTCGGGTTGCGCTCTGTGGTGATGGTGGTCGTGTGGGTCATGGGGTGTTGCAGCGACCAAGCGTGGCAGACCACCAGAGGCGCCGGGCCGCTGCCTGCCTGCCTGCCACACCCAGGTGAAGCAGCCACCCCGCCGTGCATCGCGGTGCACGTTTACACACACACGCGCCCAGGAGCCGCGCGCCCTTGCTTCCGCCCGCCACACGCACCTCCCCCGTCACGCTCTTGACTTGGTTCACCCGTGCCGTGTAGGAAGTGACGCCGCCGTCCCGGGACGCGCCCGCCACCTCGAGCGCCGGCGCCTCCAGCCCCGGCAGCAGCTCCGCCAGCCGCTGCTTGGTCCACTCCATTCTGTTCTTCTCAGACTGCTCGGATGCAGGCAGGCAGGCAGGCAGGCAAATACGCAGCAAGGCAGAATGGCAAGGGGTAAGGGGAAAGGTGAGGTGGGTCAAAGGAGAGACGGGGGTGTGCAGCGAGCGACTGCCGCCGCCTGGCAACTGGCGGCACAGGCCAGAGCAAGCTGCCGGACAGCGGCAGCGCAAGGCGGCAGGTGTGCCCACACCAAGCATGAGCCAAACGCACCCAATGCCCTGCAATGAAGGGAACAGCGCATACTAGATTGCTCAGTCCATGCGGGCGACCAACGAGCACCATCGCCTGTGTCTCCACCGCCGCTGTTGCCCCCTGCCCACTCTACCAAACTTACAGTTGTTGACGTTCTTCCCATCATCCCTGTGCTCCACCAGCCAGCGCGGGTCGCCCTGCCCCCAGACCGCCATCAGGCGTGCTGCTCAGTCGCCACAGGATATGCCTGCAGCGGCAGCCAGACGGCGCCGCTGCAGGCTCCTGCCGCCTGTCCTGCGGCGATGCGCTTCCTGGCTGCCGACGACCTGCTCTGCTAGCAGGGGTCGGCTGGGAGCGCGGGCAGCTCGGCAGGAAGGGCTAGAGGTTCGAGAAGTTTGGAGTGGCAGGCAGGGGAGGGGCGCTGCCCTGGGCGAGCATCGGCAGGCGGGCAGGGATTGCAGCGTGATCGATCTGGCTGCGTCGAATGAGGATGGCTGGCGGGTGGCGGTACGGTTGCCGCCTGTGCGGTGTACCGATGCCGCCGCACTCAGCGGCAAGCGCAACAGACAATTCGCGGCCCACGTTGTGTGGGCGGCATCCTGAATTGTGGATTGCGACCAGCACGTGGCCAATTATGCGCATGGACGGAATGCATGACCGCACAGGATGCTGACAGCGTGAGGCGGGGCAACATGCCGCCACACCGTGTGGAGGCGACCTCCTGCAGTGCTGCCTCCCTGTGCCTGTTTCGTGCTGCGTGTTCACACTTTGCACATGAACGGCATCACTTGTAAAGGCAGTTGGGAGGAAGGGCAAATATCGCACTTGCACCGAGAAACGTGGGGAGGGAGAAAAGGGAGGTGAGAGCCGAGCTTCCCTGGGACAATAAGAGATGGTCGGGAGAATGGAAAACACTGGGAAAGCAGCTTAAAGTCGATCAGGTATGGGAAACACAGTAGAAGGGGTGCAGCGCTGCGGCTGGCGCGGCGGCGCAAAAGGAAGCAGTGTCAAGGCATACGAAAATCAATCAACTGGGAGCGGGGACAACAGGGGCAAGGTGGGCGGCTGCGCAGCACCTGGGGCCGCTCTCACACTCGAGGCTGCGCTAGCGCCGCGCGGGCGGCAGGGCCAGATCCTGCACCGCCTGCTCCCGCATCAGGTACTTCTGGGGCTTGCCCGACACGGTCATGGGGAAGCTGTCCACCATCTTCCAGTACCGTGGCACCTTGTACCGCGCAATCTTGCCCCGGCAGAACTCCCGCAGCTCCGCGCGCCCGACGTGCGAGAAGCCGTCCCTGCAGCAACGAACCCTAGCGTGCCCGCCCGTGGGTGGTGAACAGCGGTGTGCACATTCACACCGCGCTGGGTCCCTGCCTGCTGCTATGCACACACACTTTTCTGGCCGCCTGCCTGTCTGCTACGCACGCAGTGCAGCTACCCATCCCGCATTCACACCCACCCCCCAGCACGGCCACATGCCCCCCCCGGCCTCACCTGAGCTTCACCCAGGCGCACACCTGCTCGCCGTACAGGCGGCTGGGAACGCCAAACACCTGGACGTCTGCCACCGCGGGGTGGGTGTGCTGGAACTCCTCAACCTCGCTGCAGGCGGCGGCATGGGTGGCAGGGAGGAGGCGAGCCGGAGTGTGGGTAGTGGGGATGAGCCTACAGCGCTGCACAGGGCGCCGAGCAGGAGGGGCCCTGCCAGACCAGACGCCTGCCCCGTGCCGCTGACCCTGCTCGAGGGCCTGCAAGGCCAGCGCCCGCCCGCCTGCCTGGCGCCGCGCCGCAAGCCTCCGCCACCCAGCCCGCAGGCCTCCCCTCCCTCCTCCCAGCAGGCTCTGCCAGCGCCAGGACAGCCCGGCCCAGCAGGGCGGCGCAGGGAGGCGCACCGAGGGTAGATGTTCTCGCCGCCACGCAGGATCATGTCTTTGATGCGCCCCACGATGTTGCAGTAGCCCTGGGCATCGATGGTGGCCAGGTCGCCCGTCCGCATCCAACCCTCCTGCACCCACACACAACACACACAAATGAACGGGTGCGCGCACGGGCACAGGAGGCGGCTTGAGATGCAGCACCAGCGGCGAGGGGCGAGGAGGACGGGCGGCGCGGTGCCAGCGGCAGCGCCTCCCACCACACGCCGCTGCGCGCAGGTGCGCCACCGCCGCCGCGGTCACTGCCACCGTCGCCGACACCACACTGTCGTGGCACACACACACACACACACACAAGCCGCCGCCGCCCACTCGCTGCGCCGCACCTGGTCTATTGCCTGAGCGGTGCTGGCGGCGTCGCCCCAGTATCCCAGCATCACAGAGTATCCCCGCACCTGCAGCTCTCGCAGGGCACAAAGAAGGCTGGTGGGTGTCCTCCAAACAAGTCCAACCAGCAGGAGCGGGCAGCACGCACATGCACGGCGGCGTGGCGGAGCCCAGGCACCAGCCGTCCAACCATGCACGCCCCCAGATTTTGGCATGCCCCGCCGCGCGGGCTGCCCGCCGCAGCCGCAGCCGGCCGGCGAGCGCCGCCGAGGACAGCATGAGGAGACAGCACGGGGGCAGCGGACAATGCAGCCAATGGCGGCGGAGGCGAGGGAGGCCGCCGCACCTGCAGCTCCCCCACCGAGCCGTGCGGCAGCGTCTTGCAGGTGCCTGGGTCCACCACCCGCGCCTCCAGGTGCGGGTGGATGCGCCCCACGGTGGACACGCGCCTGTCCACGGGGTCTGCGGGCCAGCGGGGCGGGGGGCGGGGCTGGGAGGTGGGGCTGGGAGGCAGGGCAGCTGGATGGGCAGCCGGACGGGTCGGCGACGACGGCGGGCGCAGGGGCGAGAAGGCAGAGCGGCCTGGCTGTGTCGTGCAACCCGCATTCGACCCCACCCTCCACCCCGCCCTCCCCCCTCCACCCCGCCACCACCCACCCTCCACGCTGGACTGGAAGGAGACGGGGCTGGTCTCCGTCATGCCGTACGCGATGGTCACGTCGCCCATGTGCATCTCGGTGCGCACCTGTGAAGGGCAGCAGGGCAGGCACAGCGTGGGAAAAGGGTAGGAGGCGGGCAGGCACGTCGGGCAGACGTCCGCGGGGCGGGCAGGCAGGTAGGCAGGCGGTCAGGCAGGGAGCAACTCGGGTCAGGGTGACGAGAGGCAGGCTGCAGAGGGGGGAGGATTACACATCCAGCGCCAGCATCCTGGTTGGCTGCCCTCCCGGGGGAGTCAACAGTCAGGTGGGCCCCACCTTCTTCATGACTTCCACCGGACACGGGCTGCCCGCCATCACGCCCGTGCGCAGGCTGTCCAGGCGGTACTGCTTGAAACTGCAGGGCAATACAGCGGTACAGGCGCCATTGCGGCGCGGGATGCAGTCAGACACATCCAACTCGTGGAGGCCCCACCCAGACCAGGCCAACAAGTAGCGGCAGACGACAGCCGCTGCCCTTCACCACAGCCACCCAGACAACCACAGCATGCACAGCGCAGCACAGCACAGCACAGCGCAGCACAGCACAGCACACCACCACTACCACCCACGTGGGCAGCGCCAGCTCCGCGATGAACATGGTGGGCACGCCGTACAGCGAGGTACAGCCCTCCGCCTGTACCGCCGCCAGGGCGGCCTCCGGCGAGAACGACTCTGCCGGGTAGATGGCGGCGGCGCCCGAGGCCACGCAGGCGGCGTTGCCGATGACCATGCCGAAGCAGTGGTAGAGGGGCACGGGGATGCAAACCCTGGGCAGGCAGAGGGGGGCACGCGTGGAGGGAGGGAGGGAGGGAGGGAGGGAGCGGGAGAGGGTGGGCAGTGGTGGGCAGTGGTGGGTGGGCACGTGGGAAGGGAGATGTCTGTGTACGGGCAGTGGCTGCCTGGGAGAGAGGGTGAGGGTGGGGCGCATGGGAGGGCAGCAGACGCCAGCGCAGGGCAGGTCGGGGGAGGCATGGCAGGCCAGGGCCGGTGGGGCAGGCGAGCCCGCGAAGGGCAAGCAGCAGGCCAACTCTAGAGGCCAGACCAGGGCCTGACCCCGCAAGGAGACCCGTGCGCCCACCTGTCGTGCTGCGTGTAGAGGCAGGTGCGGGCGATGAAGAGGCCATTGTTCAGAATGTTGCGGTGGGACAGGGTGGCGGCCTTGGGGAAGCCAGTGGTGCCTGCGGGCGCACGCCGGGCGGGTGCGTGGTCGGGCGGCATGCGCGCGTGGCATATGCATGTGGCCCCACGTTCTCTGTTTCACAGCACAGCACAGCACAGCACGGCGCAGCGTAGCACGGCGCAGCGTAGCACAGCACAGCACAACACGTCGTTAGTGTTTCTTTCTGGTTTGCGGTTCCCTTGGCTTTCCAGCTCACCCGAGGTGTACTGGATGTTGATTGGGTCCTCCGGCTGCAGCTGCGCCTGCCGCTCAGCCAGCGCCGCCGCCAGCGCGGGCGCCCGCCCCGCCTCGCACACCGCCCGCCAGCTCAGGTAGCCTGCGGAGGAGCGGCGGGCAGGCAGCGGCAGCGCGCGGTCGGCGAGGAGGCAGGAGAGCCTTTCGGTCGCGTGCGTGCCTGCTCCCTGGCACCGGCCACCTCTGCACACACACATACGCGCACACAACACTGCCGCCGCCAGCCACCCAGCATCGGCCCCACACCAGCCCACCTTCCGGCAGGCCCTCCTCCGCCAGCAGCAGCCGCAGGCGCAGCTGCGGTGTCTGCTTCCGCACGCTCTCAGCCATCTCCACAAAGCCGCGGCCGCCGCGCAGGCCGGGCGCCAGCACCAGCACAGACACCCCCGCCTGCCCGAGCGCGTACGCGAGCTCGGAGGCGCGATACGCGGGGTTGATGTTGACCTGCGAGGGAGGCGAGGCGCAGGCGGGGTGCAGGCGGGGAGCCCATCGGGCGCATGGAGCGCATCGGGGCCCGGTGCACTGAGCCAGCACAGGAGCTGGATGCTGTTCGACCAAGCCAGGCCGCGTCCCTTGCACACAGCCGCCGTGCAGGCTTCGGCTGGAAAGAAGGAATACCGCCACGCACCAGGATGGCCCCAATCTTGGCGGTGGCAAACTGCAGCACCGCCCACTCCGCGCAGTTGGGCGCCCAGATGCCCACACGGTCCTCCTTCTGCAGCTGCGGGCGGCAGGGCAGGCAGCCGCACACGCTGGAGTCATGTTGGGCCAACCCCCAGCGGCCCATGAATGCACAGCGCGGGTGAGGGCTGGGCCACTGGACGGCGCTGCAGCATGCTACACATGCGCCTGGTGGTGGCAAGGAAGGGAGCGGACTGCTCCGTCCCTCTGCCTGCCCTGCGCTGCCCCATGCCCTGCCCCGTCAGCCATTGCGCACCTGCACCCCCAGGCTCAGCAGGCCGCGAGCCACCTCCTCCACCGCGGCGTGGAACTCTCGGTAGCTCAGCCGCACGCCCTGGTGCAGGCTCACCACGGCATCGTGGGTCGGGAAGGCCTGCAGGCAGCGGGCACGGGCAAGGAGGCACATGACACTCAGCTCCCAGGCAACCCCAGGCGTTCTTACGCTGCCACTCTGCGTGGAAAGTCAGGCGGCATGCGGCGCTCCACAATCTGCCAGCAGCAGCGGCAGCAGCAGCAGCCACCACCAGCAGCAGGACCAGCAGCAGCAGCAGCACAAGCGGCAGCAGCTCGCCTTGGCCGTCCGGTCCAAGCACTGCCCCAGCGTCTCCTCTAGCAGCGGCACATCGGTTGGCCCCTTGACGTACGACACGCCCGCCGCCTCCTGCCCTCGGTGCGGGACCCCTGCAGGGTCTGCCACAACTGCAAGGGACGTGGGCGGGCAGGCGACGGCGGCGGGGGGTTGGAAGCTGGGGAGGCAGCCAGGCGACAGGTGGGCACATGGCACGGTCGTGGAGCGGGAGACTGCCTGGGTGTGCAGCCAACGGCAGCAGCGGAGCTACATAACACCCATGTAATAACACCTGGCTTGGGAGGGCCAAGATGTGTGCCCTGAGTTGCTGGCAGGCTGGAGGCGCAAACCGCCTGCCGCCTGCCAGTGTCGGTTGCACACAGAGCGCTCAGCGACTCACCTTGGCCTTTTCGCAGCACCGCATTGCTCTGCCGCAACCCAGATGCCTGCACCCGCAGGCTGCGCCGGCCTCTGCATGCACCTGGGGCGGCAGCGCGCAGCCGCCGGTGTGCGGCCCCGGGCCGCTGGCCGCCGCTCAGCCAGGCGGCGGCGGTGCTGGGGCGCTGCCGCGCGCAGATCATTGCTGCTGGCGCCTCTGCACCACTCCTGCGACGGTTTTCAGTGCCACTGGCTCTTGCTGGCAGGCGCCAGGCCAAACGGGCGGAGGTGAGCAACTTTGAAAGGGCCAAGGGCCTGGCGAAGGCCTGGCGAGTCTGCAGCAAGCACGCCAGAGCGGGCGCAGCTATCAGAACTCCTGGGAGCTTGTTGCTTCGGGTTGGCAGGCGAAGAAAGGGCGAAACAAAAGTTGTTCCTGCCTGGGCTCAGTGCGCCCTTGCATCGGCGCCTTCAGTTTCACCGATTGCTAATGATGTGTGAGCGCATGGATCGCTGCGCCGATGGTAGCGCCCCTGGTAAAACCCTACAGCCGCCCTGCTGGCAACTGCCAACTCTCCTGCACACGCCGCCAAGAGGTGGATTTACACATGGATGAATGGTGCTGATTTTATCAGGAACGCCACAGCAGAAATCAGTGCAAATGATGCAGATGGATTGTGCAGGAAGACAACACAAGTATGGCATGAAAGGCAGTTCAGCGGACGCTGGGAGGGGGGCGGCAGGGGATCAACAACCCACCGGCCCGCGGAAAAAGAGCGACGGTGCAGTGTCAAGTGGACCAGCCACAATCTAGAGAGGTCACTAATTCAAGGAAAAACGAAGGAAGATGGGAGAGGAATCAGGAGGGTGAAACGAGGAAATGGCGGCCTCTCAAAAGCAGGCGTTGCCGGCTACAAGGAGCGTGAATTTGGGTTGCAGTGTGCAGTGTGAATGTGCGTGCTTAGTGTTTGTGGGGCTGTGAAAAATTTATGTGCGCTTGGGTGGGAGGGTGGTGTGTGCTGGCGTGCGGGCATGGTCGCGGGCAGGCGCAGGCTTGAGGGCGGCGCGACGGCTCACGACAGCCACACGTCGCGCTGGTACCGCTGCTCCTCGGCCAGGCGCGCCAGGTAGGCCTGCGCGGCGGCGGGGCCCTGCCCCTGCCCTTCCTCGATGATGTGCAGCAGCTGGCGCTCCACAGCCCCCGCCATGGAACCGGCATCGCCACACACGTAGAAGTGAGCCCCCGCCTCCAGCAGGCGCCACACCTGCGGCCCGCTGGCTGCTAGCCGGTCCTGCACATACACCTTGGCGGCCTGCAGGACAGGTAGGGGGGGCGGCAGCGGCGGCAGGACTGGTGTGCAGGAAGCATGCATGTGTGTGGCGCAGCCTGCGGGCAGCCAGCCCCAGAGGCGCCACTCTGGCATGCACCGCCGGACTTGTCCGTCCTGCCACGGCGGCCTCTGCTGCCAAAAAAATGAGCCGCCTGGAGGGTGCCAGCGGCCCGCCCATCCACCACCGCCACAGCACGGCTCATCCCCCCCCCACCCCCCACCACCACCACGCCTACCTGCTCCCGCGAGAAAGCGGTGAAGAGCGTGAGCTTGCCCTCTGCCGCCCAGCCCTCCAGCAGAGGGCCGTACAGGTAGTCCTGGTCGCGGCGGCGGCAGCCAAAGTAGAGCAGGCAGGGCCCGAAGCCCGCGCCGCTCGCCTGTGGCAGCCCGCGGCGGCGGCGGAGGTGAGGCGCGCAGCGGTCGGGGTCTCGCCGCGCCCCCAGGCCAGCTCAATGCACGGCCGGGAGCCCTGGCTGCACCGCGGCGCTGCCACGGCACAACGGCAGGCTTGCGGCGCAGCGCACGCCCGGCAGTAAAGGGCAGTACAGTCGGAGCAGCCACACGTGTGCCCATGTGCCCACCTGCGCCCCGAGGATGCGCTCCAGCATGAACGAGCGGAAGGGCGCCAGCCCAGTGCCGGGTCCCACCATGATGATGGGCGTGGCGGGGTCAGCAGGCAGCCTGCGGCAGGGGGAGGCCGAGACACCGGAACGGCGGCGTCAGGCACAGCACAGGGACCCGGGTGTCAGGGGAGGCTGGCCGCTCCGCCGCGGGCGCCCCTGCGCTGCTCAGCCTGCGCAGCTGAGCCGGCTGTGCCCTGCTTGCCGCATCCCCACAGATCAGGCGCCCCCCAGGCAGATCCCCACACACGTGTGTGCACACACACACCTGAAGTCTGGGTTGCGGTGGATGTAGACAGCCAGCTGCTGCCCCGCCGCCAGCCGCTCCCCCACATACGTGGAGCACACCCCCAGGCGGCCGCGGCCCAGGCTGGAGTACCGCAGCACGGCCACGGTGGCCTGCACGCGGCGAGGGTGCTCCAGCTGCGCGGCGGGCAGGCAGGCGGGGCGGGGCGTGTGTGGGGGCTGTGCTGCGGGCGTGCAAGCTGGCTCGATGCACGCACACAGCGGCAGAGTGTGGCAGCTGCCCCCCAGCGGCCAGGCGCCCAGCCGCAGGCAGCGCTCGGCCTGCGGGCTTCACCCCAGCCGTCCCAAGCCGGAGCCCCCCAGCGCACCCGCAGCCCAGCCCAGCCCAGCCCGCGCCGC